TCAAGACGGTAGCCGATGCGTCACGACGCGTCGCGGTGCTACCAAGCCGATTCTCGGTCCGACAGGTTCCTACATTACTCGCTAGCGAGGCTTCCAACCTTTCCAACCAATCAGCGAGATGACAAGTTGAGCCGAGTAATCTCCCGGTGCTTTTGCGGGGGAGCTTTTGCGCGCTTTCTTACTATCGTCGTCATTTGCGGGTAATCGGGGGACGGAGCAAGAATGGATCTGACTGTAGAAATAAAAATGGCATCGCAGGTTGGCATCGTGCGGAAGTACCTCTGTCATCTCTCGGTTTCCTACAACCATGAGGCGCTCATCTCCTGTCTTGGTGTCTCTTGCAGCACTAACAGCAAGCCATATCATTCCTCGTCAAGAATCCATTGATTACAATGCTGCTCCACCGAATCTCTCCACTCTAGCTAATGCCTCGCTTTTCGACACATGGCGACCTAAGGCACACGTTCTCCCGGCTTTTGGGCAAATCGGAGACCCGTGTATGCACTACACCGACCCTGAAACCGGCCTCTTCCACGTGGGATACCTGCATCTGGGTGCATCAGGCGCGACTACAGACGACTTGGTTACATACAACGACCTGAACCCCAACTCCGAGCCGTTCATCCGCGCTGGTGGCATCAACGACCCCGTTGCTGTCTTCGACGGCAGCGTGATTGAAAGGGGAGTCAACGGTACACCGACATTGCTGTACACCAGTGTCAGCTTCCTACCAATCCAATGGACGATTCGGTACACAAAAGGAAGCGAGACACAATCACTCGCCTTTGCTACGGACGGTGGACGCAACTTTACAAAATCAGAGTTTGGTCCTGTCATCCCTGACCCACCGTTTGCTGTCAACGTCACCGGCTTCCGCGACCCCTTCGTATTCCAGAACTCGCAGGTTGATGGCTTGTTGGGCAAGCGGGACGGAACATGGTATACCGTTATCTCGGGCGGAGTACATGGGAAGGGTCCCAGCCTCTTCCTGTATGCCCAATACGATGACGAAGACAGAGATTTGTTCCAAACCTGGGAGTACTTGGGCGAGTGGTGGCATGAAGCGGCCAATTCGACCTGGACGGATGAGGGTTGGGCTGGACGTTGGGGCTACAACTTTGAAGTCGCCAACTACTTTGCTTTAGACGAGCAAGGTGCAAACCCGGAAGGCGAGATCTTTGTCACGATAGGTGCGGAATGGAGCTACGAGCCTATTGTACCTCAAGTCTCGGACAACAGGGAGATGCTCTGGGTTGCCGGAAAGCAGGAGCTCGTCGACGGTAAACTGACTTTCGAACCTACGATGGCTGGGCGACTCGATGCTGGGCGCTCCGCGTACGCTGCTGCTGGTAAAGTCCTTCCTGCAGACTCACAAGCTAGCAAAGCTAGCGGCTCTCCGGATCGCTTCATCACATACCTCTGGCTGACAGGTGACTTCTACGGCACCTTAACCGACGAGTTCCCGACTCCCCAGCAAAACTGGACAGGATCCCTACTCCTGCCCCGTGAACTCAGCGTCGGCCACCTAAACGTCATCGATAATGAGCTCTCCCGAGAGCAAGGCGCGTGGAGAGTAGATTGCGAGAACGACAACGGAACCGTCACCCTCGCGACCCTCCACCAGAAGATCGCCCGGGAACCGTACGCCGCATTCCAAGAAAATGCCACAAACACCATAACCCAATCCGGCGGATCCATGACAAACGTAACAAAATTCACCGAAAGCCCAAAGTCAAAGCACTGGATGATGACTGCCTCCATCACCTTCCCCTCTCGCTCAGACGACGTACGTGCGGGCTTCACCATCCTCTCCGGACCCCAAGAATCCACAAACATCTACTACCAATTCAGCAACGAAAGCATGATCATCGACCGTTCGAACTCTTCTGCCGCGGCACAGACTACAAACGGTATCCCCACGGACAATGAATCGGGCAAGTTCCGTTTGTTTGATGTTGCGGGCGGACATGGAAACGAGACCATGGTTGAGACGCTGGATTTGACGATTGTGGTTGACGGTGGTGTTGTTGAGGTACATGCGAATGATAGGTTTGCGGTTAGTACTTGGGTGAGGAGTTGGTATGGGGATAGTACGGATGTTAGTTTCTTTGTGGAGGGTGGGGAGGTGAGGTTTGGTGATGTGACGGTTTATGAGGGGTTGGTTGATGCGTGGCCGGAGAGGAACTAGAGTGTTGGAATATGGAGCTTTAGTTTGAGATGTATATAGTAAAAGCTGTTGTATGATACTGTATTCTATGTTGTCCAGATCTGTTGACTACAATAATATCATGAGGTACTCGTTTAGATCGTCGAATGCGTTCATGAGTATCTGACTCAAGTCGTCCGTCAGAAGGACGACGGAAGTGCTTCAGGGGAAAGTTAGCTCAAGATCAGGCTCGCTCATGTATTGGGTTTCGGTGCTGGGGGAAACCGTGGGTAGCGGGGAAGATTACGTCAGCGACGTCGAGGATATCCCTCCTTTTGGCTAGCACTGCCGCGGTTGCACGAGAAGGCGCGGTGGCGCGCTCTCACCACGAGCGAAACACAGTCGGCCAGACGCAGCTCGCAATGAAATGTGTTTCTCATAGTCCCGAATCACCTACCTCTCCCATTCCGCATTGTCTCAGACACGTATAAGATATCGCTCACTCGGTCTCGTCCCAAGTTCCTTTTCTGCTAAGCGCGTTGCTGCCTGCGCCTGCCTCAACGCGCGATATAAGCTCACAGTACCCTGGCACCTTTCACGCCCAACTGTGTCAGAAGCAATTCTCGTGACGCGCAATCGTCAGAACCTTCTCGTCGCCCTCCATCCATCGTTACATCCGCAACCCATCATCGAAAATCACAACGCACCCCCACCAACGAATCTCGACCCATCCTACACGATGACCATGGCGACAGTTCGCGAAGAAAGAACCTTGTCCGACACCCCGAATGGACTCTTGCGCAGCCAACACGAGTACTCGTACCGTCTCCCGACAGCCCCGCGCATCGTGGTTCCCCCGCCTACCCTCACCACCGACATGCCCGGCCTCTCCCTCGGTGGCGCATCTGGAGGGGATGCTGACATGAGCTTCTTGAATGAGCTGGACCTCGAGGACATCATACAGAAGAACACACTGCTGGAATGGGCCTATGAGCGGCGGAGAGAGGCGCAAATGATCTTGCCCTGGGTCTATCTCGGACCCATGGTGGCCGCCAGGGACAAGGACTTCCTAGAGCGCGAGGGCATCACCATGGTGCTGGCTATCCGTGCGCAGGCCAAGAGCATGATGGGCGCGACAAATGCGGCTGCCGAGGTCTGCATGGAGGTGGGCAGCATCGAGGCGCCCAGCTTCTACAGCCTCACACCACAGTTCCCGGAGGCAGCGAGGCTCATCAATTCACATGTCGCACGAGTACGACAACATAGCTTGGAGACCACAGGGCAAGCCACTCTGGGCAAAGTCCTGGTCTTTTGCGAATCGGGGAATGAGAAGTCGGCTGCAGTCGTTGCAGCCTACCTGATGCAGACGCTCCACGATATTGACTACATCAAGGCTATGCAGGTCTGCCAGGCGCAGCGCTTCTGCGTCAATTTCGACGACGTTTTGAAGAACATCCTGCGCGCTTACTGGGACATCATCGGTGCACGACGCTCTATCGCCACTTCGAATGCTCAAGCGACCCAGCAAAATGGTCTCGGCTACGGTTTCACACAGTCGCTCTCGCTTCCTGTCCCGTCGCTCAAGCACAAGCGTAGCGTCCAAGACATGCAGGATCACGATGAAGACACGGACATGGACAGTGGTATGGACGAGTCGGACGCGCTACGATTTGCAGGGCGTGATGTCACTCCCTTCCAGGATCGCTAGGTGTAGGCCCCTAGCTTCGGCGATTCTATTGATTTGTTTGTTAGGCGTTCCAGTAGCATTATACCCTGCATATCTCAAGGCGTTATATGGCGATGCGTCTGCATCTGAAAGGTCGGTTACGTGTAGTTAATTCTGGAGCTCTGATGAGATGAGTGGATACGTGGGTTGGTTGCTCCTTCCATTCAGGCTGCCCGTAGTATCTGGTAGCGACCGCGAACGGTTTCAAAATTCCCTCATACACTCACTGGCCCCTGCGCCTTCCCACCACTTTGCGCTCTGCAACTCATGCCTGTCCTCCTACTTCAGACTGTGTATAGTCACTTCCAAGGTCGTCAATTATGCGTCTGCATCGTGACACCCCGAACAGGTAGCTACCTAGGTAGGTATGGCACCTTCCCTTGGCTCGCCAGTTGAACAAGTGTTAATCATCGGGCAAGCAGGCTCATTTGCGACAACCATGGACGCACCAGCAGAGACGAATGTGTTCCATGGTGAAGCCTCTCGCTTCGATATCATTTCCCAAAGAAATCATTGACTGTTCCTGCTCTTCTCCACTCGCAGGCCGAGATGTTAGCGAATTATTACAGCGCCTAGTGGCTGCCTTATCTTTAAGACTCACTGTGTTCGCACGTGGCTGTGGCTCTTGCAATATTGCTTGACCCAGGTAGTACCGCTCCCTTGATGGCCGCTGACTTTCACTTTGAATTGACAGGGCTGCTATTGCACGCTAGACGCATAGCAGTCACGATGCGGCCCCATATAGGCCCAAACATGGTGGATGCGGTGAACTCTACGGTCACCACTTACCAATATCCCGCATCTTCTTCGTTCACGACGGGCTAGAAGGCATCGATACCCAATCATCGCTCACATCATTCTAAAGTCCACGATATGCCTTACAGCCTCCGAGATCTATCCAAATTGAAGAAGCCTGCACGCTACAGGTCCACCGCTGACGAAGAGTCCACTACCCCAGAACCAGCTTCTAGCGACCAAGGTACAGACCTGAGCGACCAAGATGAGGAAACCCGCTCCCAAGGACCTTCGCGTACAAATACGCCGGCCCCGAACCCAGACTCACTTAGATCTTCGTCTTTCACTAACGACGACGTTTATCTCACACCACACCCATTTTCGCCGCTCTTCATGTCCAACGCACCTCACCCTGCGCCAACAAGCGCAAGCAATCCACCAAACTCCCAAGAGAGTCGCAAAATGGCAAACATCAAGTACGTAAAGAAAAGCTCTGGCGACGGACAGCAACCCCAAGCAGCGCCGGTAGTACGCGACTTCGCCATGCGCCCTAGCAGAACCTCTCAGCGCGCAGCAGCTTCCGAACCTGAACCTGAGCCCACCCATGTCCCTCAGAAGCCAGCGGCGTTCCCTTCGCTACCAGCCAACGCTCCACCACCGCCGTTTGACCCGAAATTCTCGGGTCATGGTATGAGAGAGCTGATGGCGGCTATCGAGACCGGCGACAAGACGCGCATGGAACACATCAAAGACCACTTCAAGATTGAATACGAGGCGGGTAAAGATCCCTGGTATGTGGCCTTGAGGCGTCGCTGGGACCCTAAGATGGTAGATTCTAAGGTACGTGAAAACTGAACACCCTGGAGCCGACGTTGGCGTTAGATCGCCTACTTTGCATGTTTCCATCTTGATGTAGGCTCTGCAAGTATTCATGAGGCTAACATACAATGAAGGTCACATTCGAATCTCTATGGGTATCACTACGCCAGACTATCATCGAGCAGATAAAGGACGACTTCATTCCCGGCACCTATATCAGTCGCTTCTACCCCGTATGCTGCATCCTGAGCCTCTCCAAGGCGAAGCTGGATACGATTATGGCGGAGAACGCCGCAGTATGGGAGACCGAGGCTGAGATCCCACAATACTTCAAAGACTACAGAAGGCGATACCCTCATGCTATCATCGACCCGGAAGAGCCTCCCCCGGTCGAAGTGGTGAAGGCGATCAGATTCTTGAGACAGCAAAGGCTTCCTGTTAGTTTGTTGGGCGAGTGGCAGGCACTGCCGGGACCTGAAGTATTTCATCATCCTCACATGTTTCACCTTCCCACTGGACAACGTAGTAACGATCGGTAGGCGTTTCATCAGCCTTCAGATAATGAAGTAGCAGAATCAATGGATGAAGTTGACCCGGTTTTCCGTTCTCAAAAGCGTAAAAGTAAACACCAAAACCACCTTTCGTATAGACAGACCCGCAAGCTGTTGAAACGTGCTGAAGGACAGGAGTCTCGACAAGCCGCAAGAAGACAAGAAGCAATCAAAAAGCTGCGGCAAGAGCGATGCCAGAAGTGTGAGGAGAAAGGTCACACGTTGTTGGAACTCGACGAGAGAGGAGTATACAAAGTAAATTCTCCGCAACCCCAGTCATTTCAAGCTGAAGACACACGGAAATTGAGCTAACCCTATCAAAAGTGTCCTGCGCGCCGACAAGAAGTCCTGCAACAGCAGACAGAAGTCGACACCCTCCGCGCACAAGGCAACGCTGAATATGCAGCGCTCGATCAACGTGAGTAACCAGAACCCGCAACCAAAAGCCACCCTCCTAACCAATCCCAGCCTCCGGTCCCGAAGATGCCGCTCCATACCTCGAATACTTTCTCAACCTGAAAGCCAACCCGAACTCAAATCCATGCCTCGCCCGGCAAGCAAATCCCTCCAAACATAGTCCATACATGTCTACAGACCCCAGAGACCCGCTCTATTTACTAGACTGCTTCGGACAACTCCCGACTCCTCCTCCGAGTCCTTTTACCAGAACGGGGTCAGCGAAAAGCAGTTTCTCAGGCAGTATCTCAGACATGGGGGAGCGCTATAGCACACCGTCCCCACTGCTACAAGAACTATCCGCGTATACACTGCCGGATCCACCCGTTTGGCCGAATACGGAACATTTGGGTGGTGTACGTATGCCTGTGCAAGAACAACATCTGCAGCAATATGGACCGGCGCAACAGGTACCAGCACAGCATATACCGGCGCAAAATATACCAGCGCAGCATGTACCAACACAGCATCCACAAGCCCAACCCACACCAACCCTCCACATACCCAAGAAACGCGGCCCATATAAGACAAAGGACAAGTCACTCAAAGCGACTCGTATCTCGCCAGAGAACAGAGTGGTGGGTAGAGGCGGTATGGTCAGTTTGGGTCACTCGAAAGAGGTGACGGATATGCTCAAGGCGCAGGCAGAGGCGCAGGCACAAGCATCATCACAGGCGCAGGTACAAGCTCACGCCCAAGCCCAAGTTCAAACACAACCCCAAGCACCAGCACAGCCCCGGAATGAGGAAGTACACAAGGATGTTGAGTTGAAGTCAGATAGGCCGCTGATTACAGATACCACGTCGATAGATGAGAACAGGGATGAGCTAGTATGTGGAGGTGCGGTACTGCCGCTGTGTCCGTATACGAATCAGACGGTGACTGTGACGGCGAAGGCGCAAGAGCAAGAGCAGGGAAGTGTGTCGATGGTGGGGAAGACGGCAGATGGCCGTGAGAAGGGGAAGGGGAGGGCGGTGCAGATGTAGATGGAGGAGGATGAGGTGATGGAGACATATGTGCCCCTGTGTTAGAACCTGAGATGGTGGTTTAGACTGGGGGTTTTGGATGGGAAGAGGTATCGTATCGTTAGACGTGCCCAACACTCATATTGTTAGGTCTCGATACCCAATACCATCATTCATCAGCATTCAGACGTCTTTCTGTACACCTTACCTCATCGCAATGTGAAGATATGATAAAACGTGAATGTTTTCATTCTTGATCCAAGTGGGTATAATGCGTCCGTCATCTATATCGTTTCCAAAATCCTCCCTCCAGAACTCCTCGCCACGATCCCTATTCGGCATCCGCTCATACAGATGCCAATCAGCTGAACTGATCGCCATGCTCACTCTCGCCTCCAACACGGCGCCCAGCTATTCTGCCCTGGCTCAACTTCCACCGCCACCGTCGTTCCCGCTCGTCCTTCTCCCGCTGTTCCCGTTGAGTTTTCTTACGTTCGTATACGGCGCGGACGGTGCGCTTCGTCCGTTCGGCACCTTCACTGTAGTTGGCGCGAGCGAGGTTCACGACACTGTCGATTTGCTCTGGTGTGTAGACGAAGTTCCAGGTCGACATGAAGTCGCTGACCTTTGGGTCAACGCCGGGTACCTTAGGGTTGGCGAGGAAGGGGAAGTAGATGACCGTGATACCCGAGGCTGGGTGCATGAGTTCCCAGTCTTCATCTACTTGTTTTGAAATTGGGTGCTCGGTGTCGGACTCGCGTTCCTCGGTGGTACCGACCCAGATGTTGCAGTAGCCTAGGTCTTTGCTCTTCTTGCTGCCCTTGTTCTCGTCGGCACTCTTATCCTTGGCTTCTTCGAATTTGGTTTGGGCTTGTTGTTCGGTCTTGGCCTGAGCGCGTTCGAGATCTTCCTGGAGATCTTCCATGGGTTCGTCGTCTGGTGGCCAGCCGGCGCCGACGGGCCATCCCTTGATGCCGCGCTGGCGGGCGTAACCATCAGCAACCTTGAGCCAGTTATCGGTCTTGACGTCTGCGGAAGCGTCGAAAGCCACGAGAATGTCGACGTTGCGTCCAGGTCGGAGAAGAGGATAGATGGGGAGGTTATTGGACATTCCCGCGTCCATGAACTGGAAGTTCTTTTGTTCGAAGATGCTTTCAGGACATGATGGGGGGAGGAGTTCGCGCATACCGAGGGCGTAGTTGGGCATGGCGGCAGGGTCGATCGGGTGGACCTTGACGAGATCATCATCGCGCTCAGCGATCATGGCGTCTATACTGCTGCCGAGTCCTGTGATACTGCGCATGAGGGGTCGGATCTCTCGGTAGTAATGTGAGAGAGTCGCACAGAAGGCAGATCCCCAGATACCCATAAGCAACGGAACGCGCACTTCGGGCAGAGCTAGGCCGTTCTCACGCCAGACTGTACGCCCGTTCTCGAACTGACGGCCCATTGCCCAAGTAGGTATGCCAGCAGAGAGCTCCTCGCACCACATCTCGTACGGCGTGAATTCGAACCATTGGAACCAAGCCTCTCTTCGTGCCTTTGCTTCGGCTGCGATGCGGTCTGTTGTGTCTCCTTGCTCGGCGAGCGGTATTTCGTGCCGCACCGCAGTGTAGATGGGTAGTGGATGAGCTCCGTTGTCGGTATAGCGTCGCTGGTTCGAGACCTTGAAGTCGTATTCGCTGACAGAGAGTTCGCCTTTAGGTACAAGCAGGCGGGCGGCGAGCAGTGCGCCGTATATGTCCACCAGTCCAAAGTCGGCCTCCGGGATGCCCTTTGCCTTCTCGACAAGTCCGCTTAGGAGATATTTGTTGGTGGGCGCGCTGACGAGAAGTTCGAGCGCATCGGCTGGGAAGGCAATGTGTACGCCGAGGCGGTTCTTGAGGTGTCTGATCATGCGAGCGTGGCTGCGCTGGGTGAGGTCCGAGTAGTAGAGGGTCTGTAGCCAGCAGCTGCCACTGACACCAGCCGTGTAGGTGACGCAGTCGAAGAGGCCATGTTCCTTCGAGGAGAGGTACGACGATGTGCCTGCCACGAGCGCACGCAACCCTCCACCAGAACCGCACATGGCAATCACGGGTACATCGTCGGGATGTATCTGCGCTTCGGGAATGTCGAGGTATCGCGCAAGTGCGGCCTTGGTGAACTGTGCCCTCTGCTTCAGGAACGCCTTTTCTTCCTCACACAGCTCGTCCGAGACCCTCACAGAGGCATCCCATATTATCTCGGGGTTGATCTCGGGATCATTGGCTTCGTACCAGATCTCTTCGGCGAGCGAGCCCGGTGCCATGGAGAGCTCATCCTGCAGTTTGCGGATGAAGCCAGGGAGGACCTTGACCCAATTCGGCACGATGTAGTCGATGATGGTATCGCCGAGCTTGGAAGGCGACGGGGAGGCGGGGAACTTGCTCGTGATGGTCTGCCAGGCTGACTTGCCTTGGCCGGCTTCCTCGTCCTCTTCGCTGTAGCCCTTGGCAACACGCGTCTGCGATGGCGCCTCCTGCTCACCTGACTTGTGCTCGCCCTCCTCATTCACCTGCCTCTCGGCGTCTCCGACCGAAGTGGTTTCGGTTTGTTTGTCATTGCCGCCGAAGAAGTATCGCTTGAGGGAAGGCGCGTCTAGATGGATGGGACGGAAGAGTGGGTACGGCGACGACGCAGAAGAGAGGTAGCCAGTCGCAGCAGTCGCGAGGAGACATGGAGGGCCGTACCGCAGGCCGAGCGTGGCAGCCTTGGATCGCTGGGAGAGCGGGTGCTTCGTGTGCAGGCTGGTGCTATTAGCAGGGGCATATAATCGGTGGTGTGCTAGCTTACCCACGACGCGTCCCCCGCAGCCATCGGTGGCCCAGGTTGCGCGTGTTCCTATAGCCGGCCATGCACGCAATTGCACGATTGAGTCAGAAAGGGCAATGGGAGTGGGATGGAGGTGCCGTGCGAGCCTGGCACATGGGGAAATGCGCAAAGCCCACCGTCGCCCATGGGAATGCGTTAAGCATGACGGAGCATGTAACCTGCTTTGAGCCCGCAAAATTCCGCCAGAACTGGTTTCGGCATGACGCCAGCCGAATCACTGCCCGCTCAACGTCTGCCAAGCCATGCAGGAACGCTGAACCTGCCGCCAATCAACCCATGTCTCCACCATCCACTTGCGAAGACACCCGCGTTATTCGCGACTTACATGAGCTACACAAGTTTGGTCCTTGAACGCGGTAGGTCCATGGACTATTCCAGTCTCGTATCGCAGGCACTCCGGTTGCTCGCAAACAGACATGCTTCAGCACCCATTCGCTACCAGCATAGAGATGTCTTTATTTTCGACTGATGCAACAGTCATTGAGACTGCAGCTTTCTCCAGTCTCCTGCCAATTCTGACGCGCTTGGTATGACCAACCTTACTCTCCGGCGAGAGTGCGGAGAATTCCCAATCCCCTCACTCACCTGTACGTACCTCAGAGCATACCGCACATGGTAAGTAAAGGGCATCATGAGTCGGTGCATGTCCCTTCTCTCACCTCTCATCCTGAGCTTGGGCTGTATCTCATCCCTCAGGACGCTACTTAAGTTCTCTAAACTCAAGCCTTCTTCTTCTTCCCCTCTACAATCATCTCCCATCGACCATACTTTCTCTTGAATCATTGATACACCCAATACTCTTTCGGCTCGATTGGGCAAGTTATTCCTGATCCAAGTCGTACAATAGCCTCCAAGATACGATGGCACTTCGAGCATCAACAAGACCGCCTGGTCGGAGCCAAACACCTTCCCAGAAACGGAACCTCACCGCCATGCACAATGCGACGATTGACGAAGAACTTGCCAACGACCGTTGGTATGCCTTGAAGCAAGAGGAAGTTAAGGTCTTGGTCGAAGAATTGTGCGACAAGCTCACGAGTGCGATGCAGAAGTATTCGTCCGTCGACCAACGCTTCCAGGATCTGATTGATGCAGCAAAAATCGCAAGAAAACTACCTGACATCAGGCATTACAGTGTGGCAATACTTGGCGAGCAAGGCATTGGCAAGAGCTCCATCATCAACGCACTACTCGATCGAGGCCTTCTGGATCGATCAGGTTCGTCAAAAGCATGCACAGCTTATGCAACGGTACTTGAGTATAAGCCCGGAGCTACCGACCACACCACTCTGAGCGATCTTCTAGTTGTGTTTTTCACCAAAGAGGAGATCAGAGATTCTATCAAGGAACAAATGAATCACTGGGTCGAGGTCTACCCTGGCGTTGAGCATAATGGTCAGCCCCTCCGAGGCGAAGACGAAGACGATCCTGACGACAATAATGCTACTCATACGCCACGTAAAAGGTTGTCCAAGACGATGTCGCGTGCGATCACTACTGCCAAGGAATTTTTCGAGATCATCTTCAATGTGCAGAAAGATAAGCTGGCAGGTGTCGAGCTTGAGAGGGAACTCTATCACACGAACATCAAAGAGGGAAACTTCTTGAACGAGTGTTGCAAACGAGCCAATGATCGATTCGCCCAGCTTGCCACAGAGATGAGCGAGGTGGACCTTGAAACTCGGACCGCACATTTCAAGAACGTTCCTGACAACAGGCTTGGGAGAAAAACCAGCAAGATCAAGGAGCTGTGGCCGTTCGTGAAGGTTGTAACCATCGCGACTGGTCACATACTATTTCGGCATGGTTTACGTTTCTTCGACTTGCCAGGCAAGTCAACGGCTATTTTGGGATGACGTTAGGCTAACGAGAATAGGTTATGGTGATATGAGTCAGTTGCGTGAAGGCGTCATTAACAACTTCCGCTGGAAGGCTGACTTTGAGATGGTGGTTGCGCCATGCTCTCGACTGCAGACCAGTGTCCTGCATGATGAATATATTGATCGATCAATCCACCTCAAAGGAGCGAACAAGACTATATTAGTCATGAACAAGTCCGATGTCAGCTGAAGCCTTTTCTCTACTGGAGCATCCAACTGACATGGTTTTTAGGAACTCATCAACGAAGACAACATGGGTACACAGATTCGACAGATCAACGAACACCC